CAAATGAAAGAGCTGTCCCTCAAGCTCACCAGTACCATCACAACACAAGGCTGAGAACCCGTCTCACATCATAGAAATAGAACACACGAATCTAAACTGAAGGATCATACCTCCACATAATCTTCGTTGCAATGCACGACTCTATCCAAACACCGCTCCACATGAAACACCTCAAGCCACTATGCTCGAAATCGACAATCACGCACGATTTGATGTCCAGAACCAAAGCAAATCATTACACCTATGGTGAAACAAGTAACATATGCCACGCAAACCCGATAGGACATAACCGATACGCCATTCACCAAGCAACACCCAGTTACTCTTCCCGCTCGACTTCCACTATGAACCCCAATAGAACCGCACCAATATGTGCCCAAAACTAACAAATCATCACATCCCTCAACAATGCAATTCGGAGCCAACCAAGTCGACTCAAGATAGAACACGCATCCACATCGGCTTACCAACGAACTCTTTATCATGGAAATCCTGAAGTTGTTCCCTCAACTCCTTAACTCTGCCGATGCCATACGATACGGTGCTCGGCACCAAATCAATACCGAAATCAACAACCTTGCCCGGCGACATGCCCGACCACGAGAAACACATCCGAAAAGTCCCTCACCACCGGAACTGAATCAATATGAGGAACCTCAGCATTGACACTCATCACAAGATCCTAAATAAGAAAGACAAATCCTTCCCAGCCGTCCGCTGGGTCTTCGAAATGTGAAATCTCTCCAATAGGACATAATCCGTCGAACATCGCCACTCAACCCGTGGCATTTTCCGGCATAGCCAACAGCGCCGCCTTAGCGCAATAGTCTAGAACAACACAACACGGAGACAACCAGTCTGAACCCAATATCACATCCAAGATCTAATATACCAAGCAACAGAAGATTCGCTCGGGTCTCCAAACCCCGATAGCCACTAAACAGTGCCGATACACACAATCTACAACCACAACATAGCCTGAATATAGGAACTTCCGCCTCTAAATCCACACGGCACCTGGATCACCATATCCGATCCCAATGTTGCCATCCGAATACATGTCACACCTCTAATACCTAATCATTTCACGAGAGATACTAAAAAATTCTTCTGTGCCACCAAGCAAACTCGAATATCAGCAGTCGATCTAGCCAGTAAGTGCCGCAATACTATCGAAGTGCCATCAACTTAATCACATTGGCCTTTTTCTGAAACATATACTCCCGTCAAATCACTTCCAATTAGCAATACCATTTCCTTAATTATCTGAGGCTACCCGCTGCCTAGCTAAGAGTTTTTATGAACTTCCTTTCAGAACTGAACTATAAACTTACACACGCAAGTCTCGATCCTCCACAACATACCGCATATACCATACCATCTTAGGATAACATGAGAACTTCATCTCCTTTTCGAGCCACAGACATCTACGTACTCAACTAGTCAAGAACTTTCTATTGGTCCCATCTAGAAGGAAAAAAAATCACTATACATCCCATGCTCCGCATGCCCATAAAAAATATATATCTCCAAACCGCGGTAAAACCATCAAGAACTCTCCGAGTTCCCTTTGCGCAAATCAGACCTGCCAGGACTGAATCCTTCTAACTCGACCAAGCCAAGCAGCCATCAAAACCTAAGAGCATCGCTGCAAAATACCTGCAGGAACTCATTACCTCGAACAGACACAAGGAATTAATCATATCCTTACCATACCGATCCGGTCTACTATCAAGCCACTCCATCTATCTAAATTTCCTTCTGATTCATCTTCAACTTGATATTCCCTCTCGTTGTAGCACCACAATTCCTCAACCCCGGCTTACCACACGAGACCCAAGCATAAAAACACACTGTCTAAGACCCATAAGCCGTTGAATACTCTCTCAAATATTCCCAGAAACACCACATCCCAGAATACTTTACTCTGAAGAACTTCCTGCGAATCTAAATCCGTTACCTTTACTCTCCTGATACTGATACATAGAATCCCATAATTAACATAGAAATACCACAAGTCTTGACCTCTTCCGATGAGAACTTAGTTTCTAACCGCATATACAACTTTAAAATACCCGATTGTTCCCTGTAGATTCTTGAACACATTAGAACTATTCTTGAGAGTCATTCACTCTTATTCAAATTGCAATTTACCTGACCCAATGAACAAAACCACCCGTGCCTCATTGGCACTCCGACACCGCATAATGTGATCCTCATCCCAATACAACCAAGCAACTTCCTGCTCCATGCACCAAACATTCTTTACCAACAACAACTTAAGACATCCTGTGATTCTCTTACCCTATGAAGCATAATATAACCTTTGTCAAAACTTTTCCCTTACTCGAGCCATCCTCGGTCTCAATTTTTGCAAGCTATAGCTGATTCACCCGCACACCTCAAACTGGAACCAACATAGCACCTAACCGTGCAATCAACTACTCACAACAGACTCCCCCACTTGGCTCGAAGCCATGGATGAAAATACACTAAATAACTCATAACACTTATACTCTATTGATGCCACAATACCATAGTGAGATTAAACTCAAATCCTTTGTAAGCTTGTGAAAACACAGATCATCTAGTACTTTAAATCTTCGGCAAATCTCGCACTCATTCTCGCAACAGTTAAGACCACTCTCTTAAGCAACCCAAATTTAAATTCCAACACATATACTTCATTTGCAATGAGATCTTCTAATAGACAACATAAGGATCACACAACCTCAGAACACTCCGCAGGAGATAACCCACCTGCTTTGCCTCCAACTAACATTCCTGTATACCTTCCACCGTCATAAACTGTACGCAGGCACTTAGTCTTCCTGAGTTTGAACTCATACCGCAACATGAAATTTACTTCACTCTCAACTGGGAAACATGAAAAGATTCTTCACACGCCTGCAACTCGGGGCTATACCTCGAATCAAGATGGAATTCAAACACCTAATAGTTCTTCTATCCTCTAGCAGCCCCCTTCTCGTCGCCTCCAAATCATATGGATACCTCTCGCAGTACTAACACACTCATCACATAGTTATCCAACCGTCACTCCCACTAATAGGGACACTACCGAACATATAAGTTCAAAAACACTTGCTCACACAATCAACACCTCGGTGCTCAAGCTATAGGCAAGGATCCGACCTCAAGTCCTCCAGACTGGCCCAACATCAAACTCACAGAGATCACATCTCGCCCCTCGATCAAGGAATCACAAGCCATCAAGGCATATCTGATACTAAGCGCTCATGCACGCTTGCGAACGCGTTGAAGGAATTTCAAGAGTTACTTTTCAAACTGAATCAAGGACGCACGATAAGAATTCAAGAATGTGAAGTTTTCCTAAAGGTTTTGCAGCCTCTCGAGGATAAATATAGACGTTTCTATACCGATCCGCGAGACTCTACTAAACCTGTTCATGACTCGTGAGACCTATGTAACCTAGGCTCTGATACCAACTTGTCACGACCCAAACTCCGATCCGGTCGTGATGGCGCCTCTCGTGAAGACAAGGCCAGCCAACTAACCCTTTTCGCCTTTTCAAAATAGTTAAATGGAATAAATTATATATGTGCTCTTTTGCAATTGTGGTATTCATAACTTTTAGAGTTCTACACTTTCCCCCCTTGAACTTCTCATACTTTTTTTTAAGCAACTTCTCAGACTTTTCTGAAACATCATGGGGGGGGGGGGGGGAATATTTACAAAAATAAATCATTTACATAAGGTAATCACGAGTAAAATATTTGTCTCAGTGTGACCTATAGATCACGAGCTCGACTCGTAAAATCAGCCACTGATATTTGTATCAAGGTAGATTGCCTACATCATACTCCCTTAGAATGCGACCCTTCTCGAACCCTGCGTAAATACGAAATACTTTGTGCACCTAGCTGTCCCTTTAATTATAAGTAAAATATTTATAATAGTATTAATTAATAATCAGTTAAAAAAAATATAAATGATTTATTGTTATATATTTAATTTATAGATAGTGATTACAACGTAAATCCTTCAACAATATTTTTAAGAAAAAATATAAGAGATATGAATTGTAAAATCACTATAGTTTAACTTATGTAATAAAGATCTTAGTACTTGATTCTGATAGACGCTCAATTTTTTTAAAAAATACTTATATTAATAGGTTAATCAGTAGCATAATATCTCTTTTCCATTTTCCTCCCCCCCTCCCCCCATGTAAAAAAAAAAATCATATTTTAAGCCTTAGTTGCGGGCTTTGACTTTTTGAGGACTTCTTGTCACAATCGTATAGGGCTCAATTGTGATTTTCCTAAACTAGATGGACTCATACGCTATTATTAAAATGTAATTTCTTCTATAAAAGAGGTCCCGCTCCTCGACTCGACCCTCCACTTTCTCGATCCAAAACTTCATTCTGTGTACCGTTAGGGTTTATCAGATTTCTCCATTAAACCCTTCTCAAGTTCAATTACTCTCTGAATCAGCTGTAAGTATTCACTTTCATACATTACCTGTACATGTCTACTTGTACATTGGGCATTTGGGCTTGTACTTTTACTCGTTTAATGCTGCCTAATACCTAGGGTTTTATTAATTACCAAGTGGGGTACATGAATCGTTGAGCTCTATATTCCTTTTAGAAGAGTTCACTGATTCTTTGTTCTGGAGTTCTCATTAACATCACAAATTTGTGATTTTATTTTTTTGGGAAAAGCCAGTAGTTTAATAATTCATGTGTACTTGTACTTTGGGCAATTGGGGTTGTTTTTTTACTCCTTATGCAGCCTAATACCTAGGTTTTATGTTGCAACGTAGGGTTTAGAGATCTTGAACTGCATATTGAGTTTCTTGAGAATTCAGATTCTTTGGTTCAGCGTGCACTTTTGAGTTGTCGGATTGTTTATAACATCACCAAGTTGTGAACCTTTTCTGTTGAATACACGAGTTTTAGCTGATTGGTGAGTTTTTAGAGTAAAAGAAACCCTAAATGATTCAAGAATTTGAATATGACCGATGGAGGTAATGTGGAGAGTAAAAGGGAGAAAGAGAGTAATGTGGATAATACCGGGGAAGAAAGAGCTGGTTTCGACGATTTTGGGCGAGCAATATCGAGGATTGCTGTGGCTCAAATATGTGAAAGCATTGGATTTGAGAGCTTCAATGAATCTGCCCTCGAATCGCTTGCAGACGTTGCAATTAAGTATATAATTGACCTAGGCAAGACTGCTAGTAGTGGTGCTAATTTAGCTGGAGAACACAATGCAACGTGTTATGATGTAATTCAAGGATTAGAGGATATGTGTGCCTCCACTGGTTTTCTGCGCGCATCAGAGGTGAACCATTGTGGGTTAAATTCTGGTATTGTTAGGGAGATGGTTGAGTATGTGGAATCTGCCGAAGAGGTTCCCTTTTCTCAACCTCTTCCACATTTTCCGGTGGTAAAGAATCAGAGGATGATACCCAGTTTTTCACAAATTGGTGAAACACCAGCATTTAAGCACGTACCGCCGTGGTTGCCTGCATATCAAAATTACCCATGTTGTGCAGCACCAAATGACGTTATTAGTTCTTAGTTCTCACAGTTGAAACCAAATTACAGGCAACGGCTTATTTCCGTTCAGAATGGCAAAGATGAGGAAGGATTGGAACTTTCTTGGCATGGAGATGAATGAAAAGGTTGTCTTTTGCAGAAAGTATATTCTGCTGCTTTCTGTCTAAGCTTAATAATTTGACTTTGCCCTGTTTCCAGTTGGTGAGCCATTGTATTGATCATGTTTCTCAATCTGGCATGACTAATGGGTATGTATTTTCCTCCCTATGTAATTGCTTTATAAGAAATGCACACGAATAAAGTGTTGTGTTTAAAATCGGAGTTAGCAACCAATATACCTTATTTCTTTTAAATCCTAATTGCTGTTGAAGAATGTCAAAGTATCTGCCTCAAAAGCACGTGCACTAACCATTGCACTTGTATTTTAGCAGCAGATAGTCTTCTATTTTATGTGTTCTGATTTTTTTGTTTTCTTCTTTCATCTTTTGTTTTTAGATACTTCATAGCAACAAATGCCACATCGACATTCCGGTCCATTGTTTCCAGTTACCCTGGTGATCTGGTTCTTGTGTCAATACAGGTAGGTGGCATTTTGTTGTTTCTTTTGAATAGAATCTAAGATACATATCAACATGCCATGGTCAAGGCTGGCCATGTAATCGCTTGTATGTTAATAACAAGGAACAACAAATTTATCAATGAGCGTAGAACAATTCTCCAAGGTTGTCCTATTTATAGATCATGAGTGATGCTTTTTCTTAAAGCCAAAACCCACTCAAAATAGGAATAAATACCGAATCCAATTTCGAATAGGAATGAAAACCAAAAGAGAATAGGATTAGGCCATTGGGCCTTTGGCAGACAACATGGGCATGTGCCCAACACAACATTCACACTCCTATATAACATTGTTGGTCTTATAATTGTTCTATCGACCTTTCATTTTATTTTAGTAGGCATCCTTCTATCGCATAACACTCCTATAGCACTCCATTTTAACCATCCGATTTTAATTCTATGTGTAACATCTTCATGTATCATTCCATTCTCCTGGAACGAGCCTAAACATTTGAATTATAGCGATTTCACCCGAATTCCGCTCTTCTATGTTGACTAAATTTGTAGTGCATATATTCAGTCTTACATTTACTGCCCTTACTCTCTAGAGTCTCCTTTGTTCAAGATTTTGGTTTATACCCTCGCTGTATTTGTTAATTTGCACAATATCCTTAGCAAATAGTATACACCAAGGGATTTTCAACTGACAATCTGAAAAAAAGATGAAACTTTTAGTTATTTTTTGTTTATGGCTGTTTGGTTATTTGGTTTTGGGTATTCGTGTGCTGTGGCTGCAGGGTAGCTGCTATTTTCATTTAAAAAAGATGGTACTTTAAAAAAATGGTAATTTTAAGCCTTTTTTTCAGTAATGGGTGTATGATATTTTCTGTACATTGGTTATTTATGTGTTTGTTGCTACAGGTTAGAGCTGTGATTAAGGGGAGAGTGCAAGGGGTGTTTTACAGGGACTGGACTGTGGAGAATGCTAAGGAGTTGGATTGAAGGGTTGGGTTCGAAATCGGAGAGATGGATCTGTGGAGGCTTTGTTTTCTGGAAGCCCGGAAAAGGTTCAGGAAATGGAGCAAAGGTGCCGGAGAGGTCCACCAGCTGCTATTGTCACTGGACTGGATGTCTTCCCGTGTGATGATGACCCTGGGAAAGGGTTCGAACGCAGACAAACTGGTTGATCGTATTGTCTAGGCTAGCCTGTTGGTAAAGCCAAAACTGAATAATATTCTTGCTTTTTCTAACTTGCTTGCTACATGTTGAAATAAGTGGTAATAAGCATACCATTTTTGTACATACAGGAAATGTATAAGATTTTATAGTTAAATGTTCTTATTGATGTTATGCTTTCATGCATTCATTCCCTACAGTACTTGTGCTTATGCTAATTGCTTTTAAATATTAGAATATCTTACTGTCTCCAATAACTAGAGTTACTGATGGAGTGAGGTTTGTGGCTTTGGCTTGTGCTCAAGCCTCTTACTTAAGGCCATTTCACGCGGCGAAGACTGTTTATACATCTTTTCACGATCAGTTGGATAGAGTGATCTAGCCACTATTCTGTAGCATCTTTAGCCCATAGGTCTCGAGTTCGAGCAGTGGAATCAACCATTAATTCTTGCATTAGGGTAGGTTGTCTATATCACACCTCTTTGGAATGTGGCCCTTCCCGGGACCTGCATGAACGCGGGATGCTTTGTGCATCGGACTACCTTTTCTTGTTGTAACAGCTTTAGCTTAATGAATCACGTACCTAAGAAAATTATAATTTAAACTATAAACTCAAATTACAGTTCCTTCTGCGATTATTTGGATTTGCTTGTAATGACACTTGAAACATGTCATTTAGAATCTTAAAAATTTGGATCCATATATTTTGCTATCACCTATTAAATCCCAATATCTTCATCCAAATGAAATATTTAAACTAATTGCAGCCAGAGTTGCAACAACTAGAGGGTGAGATCCGATCATCCTATTGCTTTGCTCCAAATATGGTAAGTTGGGAACTGATTTTGCCTTCTGAGTTAAAGCCAAATGCACTCACTATTTAACTTTCTTTGGGATCTCTTCAGCTATATGTTTATATGAGTCACATTTTTTCTCAAATTGATCAGAATCAAATTCAAGGATTTGTTGCTTCTGATGTTTTTGGGGTAAACATATCCTTGCTCTGGCACATTGGCTCTCGAATTATAGAACTTGTGACAAAAGAGCCTAATCTCTATTGTAGCTTGGCAGATTGAGCTTGAAAGTTATAGACTACATGATTTCTTTGCTACTAGTACTTTTTTATCTATATATAAAGTTCTATGCTGCTATCATAAGTAACTCGGGAAAAAAATCATTCTTCTTATTATAATTTGTTTGGTTACCTCCAAAGCAATTGATGCTTTGGTTAAGATTTTCTTTTCAAAGTTTGTAAAAATAATTGGGCTCTTATTAGGATCTGCCTGGGATCTGAAGTACATCAATCTGAGACCATTCTGGACGTAGTTTTGGAATTTCACGCTTTTCAAAACCTCAAATGCGTAGTCCAGTTAGCGGTGGATCTGCATTTCACGGTGCTAAGCTTCGCCTTTGGATTAAGCAGCAGGGCTCCAAAAACTCTTAGGAAATAGTTATTTTTTTTTTGATGGGTAAATTGTTATTTGCTTACTTAGGTTTTCAATACATTACATTATTTCTATCCTATATAGTAGCATGAGGAGTAAAAGGCTTCTATCCTAGACAAGTTTCTTATTATCTCTGGCCAAATTATATTTTAGGTAAAATATCTTTTGTGAAACAAGTGAAGAGAACTAGCTAGATGTTTTAGTCAATGCTTATTAAAGTTTTCAGCTTCATGACTATGTCGTCTGTTAGAAACTGTTGGACTAATATGTGGCATGTTTGAGCAAATCAATTGAACACTTACCAGGTTCAACATGGTTAGACATGTGAGAAGTTTGTTCTTCCTATGTGCATGTGGAAGTGTCATAGATTATACCATCGAGTAGGAAAGAACGCTCTTGCCTCCTGTTGTCGTCATTGTTGTTGGATGTATATCTTATAACTTTCAGATTTCTGTCAAATAGCCTCAATCTGATTGAATCACTTAGGTTCTTTATCTAGTGCTCTCAAAGGTGACAGTTGACCGGTTGCTTCACTCCATCACGGTTAAAATACCTATGCTGCAAAAATCAAGAAAGTTGTTAGGGATTTTTGCCACTTCTGAGGAGGCATTGACTAATGCAAATGCTTCAGATGGGTGCTAACATCCATGATTGTTGTTGCTACATGTCTTGTGTACGAAGGTGTCGCAGTACTGATGATTAATTGTTTAGGTAACCTAGTATTTGATTTTTGACTGCTTTTGTAGCATGACATTTTGTTGCAGTAGTTGGCAGAATGAGATATATCCATGCCTTTACCTTTTCAATAGAACTGGACTTGCTGAAAACTTTGTAAAATTTCCTGTTTTTGGAGTTTCAAAAGAAGTCACTGATCAGACAGATTGAATTTTGGATGTCAGAGTGGTTATTATCCCAAAATATCAGGTACTCCCTCCGTCCCAACTTTTATTATCCCAACATATCAGGTACTCCCTCCGTCCCAACTTTAATTTTAAAGATAAATTATTTCTGAATAAGAAAATGTGACATTGTTTTTTGGGACGGACTAAAAAAGAAAGAGTGACGCATAAATTGGGACGGAGGGTGTATTTGTTAACAAATTTTATGCAGACTGCTGAAGATGGAAAATATCCTTGATATAAGAGTGTTAAAAGTACACCAGTAACCTTTTTAGATGCGAGTTTGTTCATGCTTGCTGTTGTTAATTGCGTTTCACCACCAAAACCAGTGTTCTTCACTCAACTTTTGTATAAATGTGCTTTCTACATTTCCTATCTACTCCGCAGAGTGGTACTAGCTCTTCTGAGTTAATTTGAAGAGTGGTACTAGATGGTAGGAGATTCAATGACTCTAAAGCATATGATGAAGATACGATTTTTGTCACTATCAAAATGAAAGGTTGTTCTCTGGGCCTATCTATTGCTCCTAGAGATGCTAGTTTGAGTCCAGCTTGTGAAAGAGTTTGCGAGTATACCTCGGGATGACATTTTATCCATTACTCATTCTCGAAATCTAGTCTAGTTCAACCCACTTGAAAGAGGAAATGGGAGCCTCGTTTATAGGCATTTCTGTCCGTCTGCGTTCGGTTTGCCATTTTAGATTCAACTCCTCGCTTTATGTTAGCGGACTTACTGGTCGGGCTTAGCACAAACCACCTTGCAACGCTACATCCTCATGCGTGACCAATAGCGACGTAGTACCGTGAGGAATAGGTGAAAGGAACCCGCATAATGGTGATGATCATGAGAACTTGGAACCCGCATAATGGTGATGATCATGAGAACTTGGTGACCAATAGGGAACTTGGTTTCCAAACAAGGAATTCTTTGTGTACCATACTGGC